GGAGGGAGAGAGGGAAGACGGAGACTGGGAGGGAGAGAGAGGACAGACAGAGAGAGAGAGAGGACAGAGATTGAGAGAGAGAGTCACCAGAGACTGGGAGAGGAAGAAGACAGAGTCTGAGAGAGAGAGAGGACAGAGACTGTACAATGGCGTCTTGTCACCACAAGCGAGCCGACGCTGGGCTGGATTCAGGCCATTGATCAGGAAGCAGGGGCGGTGACTTGTGTATCCAGTAAAGCCGGGGCCCCAGGCCGGACCAGAAACAGCCAGAGTCGGTGTAGAGCTCCCTCCGAATTGTTAACGGCTGTCCCAGGCAATGCCCACACTCGGTGGCAATAAGGTGCAGTAACTTCATTGCGGCCGGCAACTTGCCTCATTCATTTGTCAAACAGTGACGGGTTACAGTGAGCTGCAAGGCTGTATAACAAGCGAGCTATCCGCCTGCACGGTATCCCAGCTACACTTTGGAGCGTTCTGCTGCCTCCTGCTCTTTTAGCTGTTCTCACCCTCCAGGAAGCAGCGATGCTGCCGAATGGCGCTTCCCAGCTCCCAGCCGCCTGAGGGTTCCGAATGGGAAACATTGGTAAACTGCAGTTAATTCCCTCGGGATCATTCTGAACACTTTCCGCTTTCTGTAACTCCACCCCGCCCCCATCCCCGGCTGGAGTTTGCGTGTCATGCAGTCCTGATTTATTCAGGCGAAGGGGGCCTTTGGGTCCTCCCCCTCCCCCCTAGTCCGTGAGCTTCCCACGGCTCACTGTGAGTTTGGCTTCATTCGCTCTGATTGCCCTCAGTCTCCAGTGCCAGAGCACTCTCAGGAATTACTCAGTCACGCAAGCCCCAGCCTCTATAAAAAATACATTCCTGCAAATACCACTCCACCAATAAAACAGCCCCCCGTGTAAACACAAAGCCCCCCCCCGCTGTAAATCAAACAACCGTTTGTGTAAATTAAACAGCACCCTCTGTAAAATAATAGTCCCCTCTGTGTAAATTAAACAGCCCCCTCTGTAAAATAAAACAGCCCCCTGTGTAAATTAAACAGCCCCCTCTGTAAAATAAAACAGCCCCCTGTGTAAATTAAACAGCCCCCTCTGTAAAATAAAACAGTCCCCTCTGTGTAAATTAAACAGCCCCCTCTATAAAATAAAACAGCCTCCTGTGTAAATTAAACAGCCCCCTCTGTAAAATAAAACAGCCTCTTGTGTAAATTAAACAGCCCCCTCTGTAAAATAAAACAGCCTCCTCTGTGTAAAATAAAACAGCCCCCTCTGTAAAAAGACAGTCCCCTCTGTGTAAATTAAACAGCTCCCTCTGTGTAAATTAAACTGTCCTCTCTATAAAATAAAACAGCCCCCTCTGTAAAATTAAACCTCTCTGTAAATTGAAGAGCCCCGTGTGTAAATTAAACAGCCCCCTCTATAAATAACAGCCCCCAGGGCAAATAACCCACTTTCTGTGGAGACCAGTCCGAGCCCGGATTGAACCTGCCAGCTCACATGCAGTTTATTGGAAACCAGCTTCTGCTGGGACCCAGCGACACTGCAGCCCATCATTGAGCTGATTTACAGCCAGGCATCCTCCCTTCCCCACCTCCCCGCCTCCCTTGTCCGTCCCTGAAGCACAGCCGCTCACCTTCATCTCCGCCCTTTCTCGCTGACCGGTGCTGTTTGGAAACCCTGAGACTCCTGGAAACTATCCCCACCCAAACACCAGGAATCTACAGTCCACTCGGAAGGCAATGCTGCTAACATTGACTTCCTATTACCACCAGAGTAAAGAGAGCAGCTGATTGCAAGTGAGATAGTAAGAACCGCCAATGCTGGAGTCAGAGATAACACAGTGTGGAGCTGAAGGAACACAGCAGGCCAGGCAGCATCAGAGGAGCAGGAAAGTTGACGTTTCAGGTCGGGACCCTTCTTCAGAAAATATAGCTGATTGCCAGTGCTGGGAACGTGACGGCTCGGAGCTTGAGGGTGGGAGCCTGGGATTGGGAACCCCGGGAATAAGAGCCTGAGACTGGGAACCTTAGGGCATGGGAGAGTGGGGATGTGTAGTTGGAGAATAGATGTTTGGGAAATGGACACCCTGCTTTGGGTACATGGGAATAGGAGCTCAAGCCTGGGAACCTGGAAGCTGGATGAACCTGGAAGCTGGATGCCCAGAGGATGGGAGCCCAGGACTGGGACCTGATGGATGTTGGATACTTGGAGAATAGGACCCCATGACTGGAACATAGAGGCTGGATGCCCAGGGGTTGGGAATCTGAGGGTGGGAGCTGACCCCAAAGCTGTAGATGGATGGGCAGGATGAAATCAGATCCACGGGGGATGGATGTCGAGAGATAGGAGCCCAGGACTCAGAGCCAGAGGTGATAGCAGCCTGAGTAATAGTGGGATATCCAGGTGTGAGTGCCCTGAGGCTGGGTGCCTGGTGATGGGTGAGGAGATGGGCACTGGAGGATGGGTCCCCAGGATATGGAAGCCCAGGTGATGGGAGTCCAGGGTTGGGTGCTTGGATGATGAGTGGGGGATGGGTGCCTGACGAAATGGGTGCCCAGGGCTTGCTGCCTGAGGATGGGTGCCCAGGGAAATGGGAGCCTGAGAATGGAAGCTGCTGCCTGAAAGTGTGGATCTCAGTGGAAACAATGTGAAAGTGCAGGAGCTGAGATTGATAGAAATCTGTTCTTTACCATCTCTCTGAGTGAACATTTCACTAAATGTTGTGGACATTTTTCAGAACAAAGTTTCAACTTACAACAAAGGTCAGAACAAGCAAAGAAATTATACACTGAGAATGGCTTTAAGATCTTTCTGACATGTAGTGAGAAAATTGTAAAAGATCTGAAGATCCTATATAAATATACACAATGCACAGTGTTTAAATACAACATCTATGTATAGTATAAATAAAATATTTTTCATGTATAATCTTTGCATACAGTACAATATACAATTATACCTTACTAACCATGTCCCACACACATAAGCATTACCATCCCTGGCTATGTCCAGTCCCACAGGCAAGACAGACCTAGCAGAGGTGGTGGTGCAGTGGTATACAGACAGGAGAGAATTGCTTTCGGAGTCTTCAACATTGACTCTGGACCTCATGAACTCTCATAGCATCAGGTCAAACGGGGAAAGGAATGATTATCACATATCAGCCCCCTCCAGTTGATGAATTAGTACTCCTCCACATTAAACAAACTTGGAGGAAACATTGAGAATGGCAAGGGCACAGAAAGTACTCTGGGTGGAGAATTCAATGTCCATCTCCAAGAGTGGCTCAGTAGCATCATTACTAACCATTATGGCAGAGTCCAGAAAGATTAAAATGGATGTGTTACGTGTACTGAGAGAAACAACAAGTGGGGAAATTGTACTTGACCCTTGTCCTCAGCAACCTACCTGTAGCAGTGCCTGTGTCCCCTACAATAAT